TTTTTTAGTACTCTGGAGAGGTCCCAGACAGCACATTTCCCCAGTGCAATTCATCTTCTGATTTCCTGACAATGTTGATCAGGTAACATTTTGTTCTGTTTTATAAAGAAATTTGTTTTGCATTAGTGACAACTGCATGACACCTACCATCATTAACAAAACGTCCCTCAAACTGGATATGGAAAATAATTTTTCTTATGTATTCTATTTTATTGTTGCTTTAAAAAATGTGTTATTCACACATGTAATTGCTTGACTAGGACCTAATTTCTATTTATTAATATATCCCTATAAAACAGTAAGCTATGGAATAACTTTCATATTAAAATACAAAACTTGGACATTGGAAAGCTTATCGAAGAAGTCCTGGTGGTGTAGTCTGTTGGTGTAGTTGTGCTGCTGACCAAAATGTCTTGCGCCTCTGCCACTGCGAAACAACCAGCGCCTCCAAGGGAGAAAAATGGGCAGTCAGCTCCCATAGAGGTTTTTACAGCCTTAGAAACCTGATGAAGAAGTTGTAGAAGAAGAGTGAATGCTTATTCAGCTGTATTGTAAATTACAGGAAGGAGTTTCAGGTCAGAAAAATTTAAATTCAAATGTGAAGTTAATTACTCATTAGTGATTTTGCAATGTCTGTGAATGTGAAGGGGTGTCATTTATCTCCCGGTAAACGTGGTCCTCAGAAGGACGGAAATATTAGCTCTCTTCCTCTCATCTATGGTTTTAAGGAGATTTGGGATTACAGAGATTTCTTAGAGATTATTTTTCTAAAATAAAAACGTGGCATACTGTTTCACTTTGATAGTACCCTTTAATTCTTAAAATAGTTAAAACTGCAATTAGGAATAAAATGTAGCTTTGTGTTCCCAAGGTGTAGATAGTTTCTCTTTGGCAAATTAAATTCCACTTAAAAATATTAAAAACATAAGAAACAAACCAACAATCATAATGCCCCAATGAATCCTGAAATTTATTATTTGGGAGAGCATCAGATATTGACCCTTTGTCTTATAGCTCATGATAATAATCAGAAAATATACATTTTAAAATGAAAGTCAAAAGAAGAGAATAATTACATATAATACAGATTACATATTTTCTTATTTGTACATAAGCAAAGCAGTACTAAAAGCATATATGTCCACACTAGTGAATGTGGCAATCTTCTGTTAAAAGCTGCAGAAACTCAAATCCAAATCCTCCTAAGGTCAATAAAGAAAGGCAAACTGAGAAACACATTTAGGGCTAACACCATGTCTGGCTGTAAACCTAGGTTTTTAATCTTTCCCCTCCCCATATATATTTATATATGTATATACTTTATTGCCTTTATATTTCTGCTGGTTTAATATAATTAGTATACTAAATAGTTATCTGCATTTATTTGGTTTCTAAAAATATAGAAAATGTACTGGAACAGAGCTCCTGCAGCTTTCAAGCAGTCACTGTGCTGGCACTGAAAGCTTATTCTGGAAATGTAAAGCAGCAATACTGAATAATAGTGATTGTTTTGTCTTCTCCACACAGCTGATGGCCTTCACCCAAAACTTTAAAATACTGCAGCAAATAGTATAAACATGCAACTTAAAAAATGGACATAATGTAAAAGTACTACTTATAAACGAAGCATTGATACAATATACATTAATAAAGAGGACTTTATAGGAGGATGTGAACACATTAATGTTATTTACAGATAAATTAAGGCCCAATATTTCAAAAGTGATGCACACCAGAATCTGCTCATCTGCCCTCACCCGCTGCACTCCTAAAATCAAGAGTTTTTACCTTTTTTCCAGTATTAATTAATACATGTTATAGTTTCAACTTGGAAAGTTGCTCACAGAAAAGGGTATATATAAAGTGGGTTTTCCCTCCTTCCTCTGAATATTTCTGCTCTTATTCACAAAGAAAATGCTTTCAATGTAGGAGAAAATTTTATTTAAGAAATGGGAACAGGGAGCTCTGGTGGCCTAGTGGCAAGAGGCTGCACTGCAATCCCAGAGGTTCACGGTTCGAATCCACCAGATGCTCTGCCGGAGAAGGAGGAGCAATCTCCTCCTGTACCAGTCAGATCTGATTTGACGGTACACGCACACAAAATAAAATAAAAAAATTAAAAAAAGAAATGGGAACAAATGCTTATTCTTTTAACACATGGTTGTATTTTCATGTTTCTCAACATGAATTACTTCCTGTATCAATCTTAGCACTGAATTAGGGTTAATTTGAATTTTAGGAAGTGATGATTAGTTCATTGAGAACTGAGAGAATTAAATGAGTAACTCCTATTAACACCAAATGAAATATCACAAAGTCCCTGTGCATCAAGATAGAAATAAAATGCTAACAAACCAGAACCTATCTCGTTAACAACTGCAAAGTACTGAGATAGCCTACAATGGATCATTCTGAGTGTAAATGGATACTGTAAAGCTCAGATAAACTGGTGCTATCAGATACACTGGTGCTATTTCAAATTATTCCTTGGGTTAAAAAGAAATTACTTCTTAATATATTTAATGCTCATAGAAAATCATAATAAACAATTTGGCATATGTGAAAAATTCTAATCTAACTTAGTATTTAAGATCTGAATATTACCCTAGATGCAAAAATTTTTTACTTGGTATTTCTGTGTACCACTGCCTGCTTCATTCTCTGAAATGAAGCCAAAGATGTGGTAGTTATTCTAATTCATATATTCACAATAGATAAAAGTGAACAGGAATAGACTAAAATATCTTAAAGATGTTCTCTCCCCTATTTTAAAAAACAGACATATAAAATACTCCTATGTGCTTCTGGAAGTAACATAACATTAAAAAGAACAGATGCTCAATGCATTCATTACAGTCACATTTTAATACAATTGTCATGTAGGAAGTAGTATTTCTATCTGTAATGAGGTCCATGATGATTACTCGGCAGCCTGCAAATTTTGGTGGCATTGTTAGAGGTGAACTGTGATTTATTATGCTGGTATTACCAGTTAGAAAGATGTGTTCATGCTAAGAATTTCCAACAATAAGTTAGATATTGAGCAGTGCTCTCAATTTTTCATTGGCACACCAAGGCATATTTGAAATCTACAACTGCCAAGTTTTGTCGTTGATTTAACACTTCTACTTAAAAAAAAGATATTTATAAAAATGTTCTTCTTTGTGAATAAGGTTCTCAGTTTTTCTTGACAAAATGATTCTTATTAAGAGTGGGATCTTTAAAAGTAAGGCATATACTGGGCTTCTGTAAGTCACTGTTGTCACAAAAACAACAAATGATTTTTTTCTTTTCAGTTATCCTAATTTTAAAGTATATGTATATATGAAATAGCTATTACAAATTGAGAGCAGATGTATACAGATTTTGGGTATTCCTTTAAGAATAATTTCTCAAGTTATTTGCAAAATAGTAAATGGCAAGGTCAACTTGGTAACTTCAAAGAATCCCCAAAACACCAAAACAAACAAACAAAAATATCTATTGAGGTCTGCCATTGAGCTGGATTAGAAAAGGCAACTTTGCATTAGTACTCCCAGTATTCGGAAAGGTTCACTCTCTCTTCCTAGTCATTCTTAAAATGTGTTCATATGAAACCTAAATATAGCAGCATTCTCAGCATTCATGAAACCAAAAATAAGTCAGATGTGTTAAAACATCCAAAGTTGCCTTCATGCATAAAACTGAAAGTCCTTTCACTATGACATAAATACATTTTCCTCAGAATTAAAATCTATCTTAAATTTCAGATTATAATATTATTTTGTACCAATTTTTGATCAGAGAAATGTAAAATGGCTACAAGGTGTCTGGCCATATATGTCTAGAGCGAGCATATATGTCTCAATATTACTTGTGAATATTAGCTAAGTCATTACTCATGGAAGGAGTGCTGGAATCATTTTGGTTTTGTGTATTTTAAAAAAATGCATGTACAAATAGATCAATGACCTCTAAAAGTCAAGCTCAAAAATTAAAATAGATACTGAATTTATTTCCTTGGTAAAAAAAATACCTTTCAAAGTACTTTTTATCTAAGTGACCAGAGAAATCACTACACACAGGGTAGATTATGCCAAAGACTAGACATATGAAGATGGTTATTTAAAAATATGTCACATAAAGCAACATTCCTGAAGTAGAACAATCTGATACTCAGATATCTATAATCAAAGGATCCATGACAGTAAAGTGACAGGGCAGACACACAACTCTTAAGTTAATAGGAAACCCCATGCCTGACTAGATACTGAGTAATCACATTTTGCCCAACAGTGCTTGAAACACTAAAAAGCTTGTAAACATACAATCTATCACATGAAAATACAGTCTGGTATACAGTCATTCATATTTTGGAAATAATGTGAGGAAAAGATTAAATACCAAGAATAAAATGAACAAAAACATCCCACTTTGAATTATTTCACTAATTTAGCAAAAGTTAGGGCAACTTCCCAAAATAAATGCAAGTGGGTTCTTCTCTATGTTGGAGCACCCTAAGTCAAGTGTAGTTATGAATCAGCAATATATAGAGGGAGTCTGGCAACATGCACACAACATCATAGTCATACAACATGGAACATAACTAAGCCACAGGATAAGTATTAAAAAATAAAATATCAACATTCATACATCCATTGATTACATGGAATAAATTAAAACTACACCAGTCACATACATCTCTTCACTCTTAAATCACTTGTATTTATGTATCCACGTAGAATAATACTTTTCCTAAATGCTCTCAAAAATGCTACAAATAAAAATGAAGGCCTTGCATTACAGCTGCTGGACAGAAAGGTCAACACTGTTGAAGTGTGAAAACAGTTTCTTTGTTCTTTAGCATCAGTGCACAGGGTATGGCTCCAAGTGGTATGCAATTTAGGACAGAAAGGTACAGTGGCTTGTGAAATACCTCCTCTGTTCATCATTGGCACAAATCAAAGGAATTTTTACTGTCCTTGGTATCTTCATTGGGTCTCTCTCCCAAAGACATGATGTTATACATATATGCCTTCAGGATTAAAACCAGATGAAATAGGATTTTGTAGAATACGAAGATTACTGGGGAGCTGCCGTGATGAACCAGGTCGCTTCAGGGACCCAGACTGGAATGGTGCCTCTAGACAGGAAATAAGATTGAATCATTAGCATGGGAGTATTCAGCAGTATGAAAACTTAAAAACATTTCTGGCTCCAAAGAACCTAAGTAGAGCGTGTCACAGAGGGACAATGACAATCTGTGGGTACTGGAGTAGTGTTGGAATGTAAACTAGTATTTTTAAAAGGTGAGTGCTCTAAGCCCTGCTGTAACAAATACCACAAGTTTGTGGCTTTAGCAATCAACATTTCTCAGAGTTTAAGAAGATACCCAAATTAAGGACACTAATTTGAGAAGTCTCCAGCTGTTTACAATTGGAGAAATTCTTTAACCCTTTTCAGGGTGGGGTTTGTTTTTTTTTTTTGTGATCTCCACATATCATCATTCTTTCTTCACTTAGAAGCTTTTATGCCTAATTTGCTCTTTTATTATCTCAAAAGCGATTAGCTTAAAATATACCCTACACTGATATATCTCATTGAAACTACAGATAACCTTATTCCCAACTGGGATAACATCAGAAGGTACGAAAATTAGTATTCTAATACATCTTTTGGATGGGGGGGTTGTCATGAAACACAATTCAATCCATAATAATGAGCATTTTGCCTCTTTTTCTTGGCTGTTCAGACTATATATATATTTGGTGATTATCTGTGCAACTTAAATAAATAACCTAACTAGTACTGATTCCTCCTGCCCCAGAAACAAAAGTTTTTAAAATTAGCCCAAGAATTACCTACAAGTGGTAGGAGAACACTAACTGAATACAAGTTGTTTATTCAAAGTTATCTAATGACACAAATCCCCACTGGATTTATTAACATCTTACCCCTTTCTATGTCTGCGTGGGAGGCCTCTAATTCAATGGGCTCTGCTGGCAAGACGGTGACTTTTGTCCCTGTCTGCTGGATAAACTGCTGGAGGTTGACTTGTCGCAGCTCCTTCGTCAACTGCTCCAGTTCTTGTTCTTTGTCCTGCGTGAATGTGTGGGGTGGGAATTATTTCTGCAGGTTCATTATTGGTCTATACCACAGACAATCAATCCATCAGCTACAGGCGCTGTATCTGACATACTTGCTTTCACAAGAACACATTTAACAGATTTGGTTTATAGTGAACAACAGGCTATACAGAGGTAACATGCTGTAACACGGGCAAGTAATAAAAAGGAAAGACAATATGTTTTCCTGCTAAATGTGATTATTTTACTCTTTAAGGAACATCACTGTGTGTCTACTGATATAAATATACACATTCACCATTAAAGACTGGTTTCCATCTAGCCCAACATTACAGCAATCTTGACAAGCTGTTCATAAGTAAAGTTCTTGATTAACCACTTCACAGCTGAATGCACGCTTAATAGTCAGGTGACCCATGAGATTTCATATTTCTTATATATCTTTCAGACACTCCCTGGTGTCCATTGCTGAGAATAAATACTAGAGCCATGAGAGAAGGAAGTTCCCCATGATGGGGTTCTTAAATCCTTGGCAAAGGCTGACAACTGTAGAACTCTATAAAGATCATACTAGGACAATTGGAAAGCTCAAAAGGCAAGGCTTATTTAAATGGACTTTTTCTTTTCTTTCTCTCCTGTACCAAACTGAGAAAAGGAAGCAAAGCTGCAGCCATGCTGGGGTGTCTCAGGGATTTGGTAGAAGTACTTTCTGTGACTGTAGATGGCACTTGGTCATATGCTAATAGTCTATTTACAACTGAGACCAGTAAAGGTTTTTCCCATTTTTTAATAGATAGTAGAGTTTACTAGTAATTCTAGTAAAGCACCATAAACTGGTGCTTTACGAAAGCAACAGTGAAGATAACATGACTAACTGTACTCTTTCAAGTGCTAAAATCCATCTAAATAGTAAACTACTGGTGAGTCAGAAGCTGACCACCTTCCACTGCATCAAGAATGCCTGGTTTTCATTAGTTTAGTAATAGTTCTACCTCTCATTATGTTTGGTGACAGAGTTAGTAGATCACAACTCTTCATAAAACCCAGCTTTCTCAGCTAGTAGACTGTTTCCTTCTAAAGCCACTCTTCCCAAATGCCAGTCTGTACAGGTACAACTTGAGGATCCTGCTCTAATGTAGACCTTGCATTTCTAACTACTATGTTCTGAAGTTGCTCAGTCTGGGTCACATTTTCACAGGAAGCTTCTGAACCACCACTTTTCAATGGAACTTTCTCAAATTATGGGAATTAGGCATTTCTGCATAATCTAATAGATACATGTGGCTACTAAGCATATATGATCAAGTGTGCCTGAAAATGTACATTTCAATAGTTTCAATATGGTTTTACTTAATATTATTTATTGTTGGTTAAATCAGTTGTGGACAGTACAGACCTAACTAATCATCAGGTATGTCTCCTTCTCATCTACTAGTGACTTATACATTCTTGCATCTAACTCCTATAGTATCTACAGAGTGCTTTCTCAAGTTGAGTGAGCAGACCTAGATATAAATATACATCCATCTATCTATCTATACACACACACACACACACACACACACACACACACACACACACACACACACACGTATTCTTCTATATGAAGAAATCCACAGCCAGTGGGTTAATTCAGATTCCTTGCAGTCACAGAGAACAGAGTAGAAATGCCCTATAGGGCTTTTCTGAGGCTGTAAGTGTTTACAGCAGTAGACTGCTTCATGTTTTTCGCATGGTGGTGGTGTTTGAACTGTGGAGCTTTCAGCTAACAGCTCAATGTTTATGCCATTTGTGCTCCCATATAAATGGAACCCAATGCTGTTGAACTGATTCTGACTCATTACAATCTTGTAAACCCTGTGGAGGGTTGCTAACTCACAGAAAAGACTGCTTTCAGTTAGCAGCTCAGCAAATAAAAAGCATGCATGGTGCATAAGAATTAGGAGAAAATCAGAGGAAGGTACGGTGGAGAGGAGGCAAGGGGACTTTTTACAGCATGGGACTGAAGATGAGACTGACAACAAAAGACAAGTGACAGATAAGCAGTTGGTCAGCTCCACAATCTTTGCAAAAGTAATCTTCAGTAATCTCTTTTGGCTTTGGTTTCTCTAAAAGGAGGAGGTCAGATTCACTATCTCATCACTAGTTTCCATTCTTCCTATAAGATTCTATCTTCTTATATCCAATTACCTAATGGTCCTGCAACAGTAAACAGCTTCTTCCATGGAGTTAGTGTGGCTTTAGTTTTCATTTTGCTCTCATCTCACATTTAAGCTCTTTATCCTACATTGTGAAGCTTCTCAAAATCTTGCAAACCAGGATAGGTTTCTAATTGTTGAAATGTAGGGTAAAGTGGATACTAGTTAATACTACAAACACCTATAAATTTTGTGAAATAGATGAAATATTTACTGTAAAAAAAAATAGTTCCGAGGTAGCGCTGGTGGCCTAGTGGTAAGAAGCTGCACTGCAATCCCAGAGGAAAGCGGTTTGAAACCACCAGATGCTCTGCTGGAAAAGGAGGGGCAATCTCCTCCTGTACCAGTCAGATCTGATTTGACTGTACACACAAAAAAGAATAAAATAAAAATTAAAATAATAGTAATAATAGTAATAATAATAATAATAATATAGTTCTTACCTGTAACCGTTTGGTGGCTTGTCCAAGGGACCTTTCCACAGCTTTAATACCATTTTCCAACCTCAGACTCTGCTGGCCTTGAATGTCAATCTCCCCTCTGACTTTCCCAATCTTTCCTTTAACTTCTTCTTCATTGACTTGTGCTTCCTGAACCTCCCGTTGCATCTTTTCTGCTTCAAGGCCATTTTCCATGGTCTGGATCTGGGCCAAATAGTCCTTTAATTTGCTTTCACATTCTGTTATTTTCTGTCTTATTTCTTGAAGTTGATCTTTCAGCTGTTTTTCATTCTCCTGCTCAATCTGTAATTCATTTTCCCAAAATTCTTCCTCCTCAATTTCTACATCATTTCTTTTGATCTTTTGCTCTAGGCGGACAATTTCCTCTTCAAGGATGGAATTATATTTTTGCTCCCAAAATCGTATTTCAACTTCATTGGATTCCAGCTGTTTCTCAATAGAGTGAAGCTTCTCTGTCTGCAAATGAATCAGCTTCTTCAATTCATCTGCTGTTGCTTTGCAGTTATTCAACACCTTTTGCTTGAATTCAGTTTCTTTACTTTTCCCAAAAATGTCCATCAATCCTTTGGCACCTCCTGTAAATGTTAACGATTTCCTTTTTGGCTCTCTCCTTTTGATGGATTTGTCATTCTGAGGCCTCAGTTTAGCTAAAGGAGGCAAACTCTGCCGGTATAAAGTTCTTTCAGGAATTCGGGCCACACTATCTGAAGTGGGTCGTTCACTGAGAGACGGCCCTGTTCGACGTAAAATGAGCTGTACATCGCTGGCATACTGCCCCCACTTGTTTAAGGAAATGATAGGATTTTCATGAGGCGCTAAATGCCTTTCAGTATCTCTCCATTTTTCTATAAGAGTATACCTTCCAGTTCGACCTAGGTGAAAAAATAAGATTTTACTGTGAAAAATGGTTTTTTAAAGCTATCACACAAGTATTAACATTATTTTTAAAAATGTTATCTGTTGTCATTGAGTATACAAGATGTACATGAATTCAACAGTCTCTACATGTATAATTCAATGACTCATTACAGTCTCTTACCATTCTCATTCTTTTCCAAGTTGTCCTTCCTCTATTAACATAAACTCACCCCTCTCTCAAGTTCTTAATCTTTCTTGCTGGTACTGTCAATGTGATCCCCTATAGATAGTTCTTAAAGAGTATAATGCAAAAGACACACTAACTACATAAGTACAGTTTGGTTTTAAAATATCAAGAAACATTTTTGGCTTAATTATCATTTCAGGGTACCAGTTTAAGGAGTTCATCCAAATTCCATGGTAATTTGAAATTATGTTTAGCACTTTCCTTCTTTTGATTAGAAGCCTTCTATGCATCCTTGGAGGCAAGGAGTCTGAGGCTTCGTCTGACATACCGTGGGCACGCTGCAAGGAGGGGACTGGTCCTTGGAGAGGGACATCATGCTCAGAAGGGTGGAGGGATGGAGAAAGAGAGGAAGACCATCAATGAGATGGACTGACACAGTGACTGGGGAATGAAAGTAGGTGTGTCTGAAGCAGTAAAGTTGGCGCAAGATAGAGCAGGTTTCAGGGCTGTAGTACAAAGTGTCGCTATGAGTTGCAAGCAACTTGAGAGGACACAACAACAACATATACTCTTTGGCCAAAATGTTTATTAATGGTACTATTTCGTTTTTCTGGTCTCATGACAAAACAGCTGGAGGCAATTAACCACACATTCTATATTCCCCTTCCTTTCCTGACTTTTTTTCCCACTGTTGTTCCAGGCAAACTGGGCCTTGATCTTTGTTTTCTTTAAGACCACTTAACTAGGATGCCCCATAAACTTCCAAACCAAGGAACCAAATAATTTTGTTATGAGTAACTGACTATTACTCATAGCAACCTATGAACAATGGCTTTGAACCTTATCCTATCCTGAGCCAATCTCACCGACATACTTGACTTCACTGCTACAGTCACTGTCAATCCATCTCATCAGGGGTCTTCCTCTCTTGCGCTGACCCTCCACCCTTCTAAGCATGATGTCTTCCTCCACGTGGCCTCAGTAGCTAGGGTATATTGTTTTGCATTGTAAGTATATCTATCACACAACTTTGGCAGGTGTACAACTTCACAACAATTACAATAACTGGTTGAAAATGTTTCCAAGTCAAGTCCATACCGTGCTTTTAACACCTTCACCTGAAGGTACAGAAACACTCAGGACAGATAACAATATAAAATTATAGGAAATTAATGGGATGTATCACTCTAGACATTGCTTAGAAGTTCAACTTTAAACCTCAGAGGCTATTATACTTCTGTCAAAGGTGTCACTGTCTAGACCTTTTTGTTTGGTGTAAGACCTCTCCAGCTGGGACAAAGGAGGACAATGAAATTTTCCATTTGAAGTTATGAGGGGTTAGGCCTTGGAATTAGGTAGACAGCAAAAATTCGAGGTAGAATCATCTCTTCTGCTTTGTACGGGACTTGTGAAGGCTGGATACTTTATTTCTCCTCCAAAAGGGAGACAAGGAGTCCTTGGAAAATCTCCTACTCAGGCAAGAGGAAGCTGCTCAGAGTTCCGGAGTTCCCGAGCTGGCACCTTCCTGCTCACTTATGGGTGTGTGTGTGTGGGGGGGTGCGCAGTCACCTCAATGTAAATACAACTCACAACATGGCCATTGAGTTGGAACTGACTCATCGCTGACCCTCCAGTGGGCTTTCAGAGTCTTTAAGTCTCATGAAGGGCGACTGCTCATCTTCACCCCTTGGAGCCACTGGAAGATTCTAAGTGCCGGAGCAGTACTGCCTTTGGGTGGGGAGCATGATTCCCTAAGAACTAGGCCACCAGCACTCCTTTTTACAGCATTTACAAATAATCTTAAATCAAAAGAAGGACCTGAAGAGGAGAGGCTATTGTCGGTGTTTTTATTGTTAATAGTTTCAAGGATTCTTGGGCGAAAAATTGTAAAAAGGCTTACATGAATGCTTATTTTAATAAATGGGTAAATACTTGTGTTTTCCATATGTAAGTTATCTCCATTATGCCATTTAAAAAAAGAAACAAGCTGAACCTAACTAAAGACCACATAAATAAGACAGTTTCAGGAAATACTATTACATCATCAACTTTAACAATCTTTCTTAATATTTTTATTTCAGGTGGATGAGTTGGGTGCATTATTTAAATTTTGTTAAAACGTCTACTAGTGGTTATTACAAAGTAAGAAACCCTGCCATCTGGCAATGATAATAAGGAAATATACGGCTGATCATTATAGTCATTTTATCATTTGTGCCTCCTTCTCATTTCATGAGCTTCTGAACAGCTGAGTCAATAAAGGACGCTACAAATGTGTAAACATGAACACTTGTGTATGGTTCACAGTATCACATAAAGAATTATTTTACTCTAAATATGAGTGTTCTACTTTAAAGGGAAGCCAGAGCTTTGGAGGCAAAAAGACTTGGGCTTTAATCCCAAATTTTTTACCTCCTAGACAAGTCATATAACTTTAACTTTATTATGGGAGTAACTGTGATGGATTGCGGCTTCTAAGAATTAGGGGCCCTGAACACGGCGCTGACTCACAGCAACCCTCTGCCTGCTTCAGCACCTTCCTTTTATCATTCTTCTTAACCTGAGAGGATGGCTGACTAGAAATTTTCTTTAAATAGTGAGTCCTTCAATGTGATAAAACAACATTCCATCTTAAGCAATTTTCAGCAACTCCCAATTGTGTATCACTACATATAACATAAAAAGGCCCCTAAACTCAAAGGGCCTGTGTGCACAACTGACTGATACAGCACCTGAGCAAACTATTAAATGCCCTTCAGCCTCAATTTCATCAATAAGATAATTTTCTTACTTTACAAGGTTGTTCTGAGGGTCAAGTGACAATGTAAAATATAAAAATGATGGGAAAAATTGAAGAGCATCCTACACATACTCTTTCCCATTGCTACTGAGCAGAACTGGCTCATAAATGGCTAGAGTTTTCTGAGGCTGTAAATCACATGGGAAGAGACAGCCCATCTTTCTCCCTTGGAGCTGCTGCTGGATTTGAACTAGTTAGGGAGTTGGTACTATAACTCCTTACCCACTAAGCCACATATGGTTGTTGTTTTGTACTATTCTCTCACAGGAGGGGATTTTCCATCTTTTTTTTTGATGAAGCAGCTGGTGGATTTGAACTGTGTGTCTTTGGATTGACAGAGTAGCTCCTTACCACTAAGCCACCAGAGCTCACTTACTATACTAGATACTAGTTGTTGTTAACAAAATATCCAAGAAAATGAAGATGAGAAAGAAAGCTTTAGTATTATCCTTGGAATCAGAAAATATTTGATTTCCAATTTACTATTTGTGTGCCCCCCCCATTTAAAACTACATATGGGAGGTTAAAACTGTCCTATATGTATAAAATAAAAACAATCATTTTATTAAATGAACCAAATAAAACTCAAACCATAAAAAAATAAATATTCAGGGGGTGGGGGAGGGAAGACTGAGAAAGATGGGATAAATCATGTATACTGCATTGAGACAGATTAGAGATAGAACTGTTATGGGATATATTATTAGGTATTATTGTCATGACATGAGTCCAGAACGAAGGCTGTACAGTGGAGTGGACTAGGGGGAGGGATTGTATAACAATGAAAGAATTTTTCTTTTACTTTTCAAAGAGAAGAACAAACTGGAGGAGAGGGGTGGGCAGGGAGAAAAGTGCAGCAATGAATAACTGGACATCCAAAATATCTGTAAATTTTCATTAAAATTAATAAAAAATAAAAAATTACTGGGGTCGAGTTGATTCCAATGCACTATGATCCTCTAGCAGCTTTGAGACTGTCTATAAAACCCTTACAAGGAGGAGGCTATCCATTTTTCTCCCAAGGAGACAGGTGTATTCAAACTGTCAGCTTTCTGGTTTATAGCCTGTTACCACTATGCCACCAAGACTCTTACACAATCTACAATGTTAAAACTATCCCATGTGTATAAACGGAGAAGACGAAGTTGTCATAATGAAATATAAAGTTGAATTTTCCAACGGTAAATGGTACAGCTGCTCTCTAGGAATGCCTTAAAAAAGGAATATTTAAAATTACTTTTTGCTAGCAGTTATTCTTTTTTGTTAAATAATGAATATGTACAGTAAAACGAAAAATTAAAAAGTCCATCCAGTAATATAAACACTCTTAAAAAACTGAATAGTTTTGATTTTTATCAGAGGAATTGGGTTTTAAATATTTTAGACTGGAATCAAAACCCTTAATTAATGTTGTTAATACCTATACTTGGGAACTATCCTCGTTCCTTTATTGTTCATAGGGTTTCCATGGAAAATAGGAAGTACTATATGCTCAAGAGCTGGAGATAATGAAAGTAGAAGTTCAAGCTGCACTGAAGGCATTAACAGACACAAAGGTCCCAGGAACTGATAGAATCCCATCTGCCATGTTTCAGTTAACAGATTCAGCTCTGGATGTGTGCATCTATGCCTGGAAATTTGGAGGACAGATGCCTGACTAAAAGAGATTTTATTTGTTCCCATTCCCAAGAAAGGTGAACATGGAACATGGAAATTATTGATCATTAATGTCATCTGCAAATATGCTGAAGATCACTCAAAATCACCTAGAACAATACACAGACATGCCAGTTCAAGCTGAATTTAGAAGACACTGGAGCACCAGGGATATCACTGCTGGTGCCACATGGTTCTTGGCTGAAAGCAATGAATACCAGAAGATGGCTATTTGTGCTTTATTGAGAATGCAAAGGCATTAGACTGTGGATCGTAACAGATTTGGTAACATGGAGAAGAATGGGAATCCAAGAACACTTAATTGTGCTCATGCAAGGGCATGCTACAAGATATACAAATTAATCAAAGTG